TGTCCCGACTCGTCGGTGACTCACCGTCCGTGGCGTTTTTCTGTGTTCGTTACAGTATATGTTTTACATTGTGTGTACATGTACAGTTTTGTGTGTGTTTTCAACATGTCAGGAGTGAAACGTAAACACATTACTCTTTCATTAAATGAAAAATTAGCAGTGCTACAAAGACTGGACAAAGAGGAAGATTGTTTATTTTACTTTTTCTGATAATTTGATCTTTTTGCATTCTGACCATATCCTCACTTCCAAAGGTGATGGATTAGAGGGGTTCTACTGTAATTGGATTAATTTGTCAATCATGTCTTATTCTGTTCATTTTCATATTTACATTGTCTTTATCAATCTGCACCAGTGTTTTCCAAATTTGAATCATTGGACTAAAGATGTGAATTGTAAAACTTTTTGAAGGCTGTGGTATTGTTTATATCAAAATGAGAGATACATATCAAAATGAGAGGTAGAATTTTCCAAAAACACATGGAAAAACTTTATTTTGTGTTTTAAACAAGGATTTAGCAGGTTCCAACTTTAAGTAACAGGAGTTACAAGAACAGGAATCGCGAGTAACTGGAATTACAAGGGACTTGTCTTAAAGTCCCTTGTAATTTCTGTTACTCGCGATTCCTGTTACTCATGATACAATTTTATATAGACTTTTGTAGTATGAAACTGGCTCCTTCACAAATCTTATGCCCTGGAAATAACAAACATAACAGTTAGGGACTTTACAAGTGTGGGTTGTGTCCTTAAACTAATCTTAACCTACTTATGACAAAATTAATATGATATATGTACAGATAGAAGAAGGAAGAAAAAGAGATCTAAGACAGGAGTACCCAATTGTCTTGAACGTTCCCTTTGCCCATCTATCGGATTCACTTTCTTTGTCTCAGTTAATGTTCTTTCTCTCAGAACTTCTCCGTACTTCTCTGCAAGTTTTGGGGATGTTCTCTCAGAAGACACCTCAAAGATGCTTATGAAAATTGTCTCTTTGTGTGATCCTATCTTGAACACCACTTCCTCATGCTTTTCTCATCTGCCAAAAACGACCAAGAGCCTCTTCTCAACATGTCTGGTCTCCTCGGTGTCTAGCCCAAAAAGTGTTTAACTTTTCCGGTTTTCCTTCAGGGCCTTCCCTCCTCCTCTTGTTCTTACTGTTCCACCCTCAGGGAAGGGTTTAATCCGAATTTCTTGGAAAATGAAACAAAAGAAAAGCAAGAATAAAGAAAAGTGAAAGAATGAAAATGAAAATATGATAAAATTTTATATATTATACAAATGATATGGCAAACAGTTGCGTGGCCAAGGTAATTAAGGTGCCACTTGTCATTCTGGACACGAGATTGAATTCAGACAGAACAAAAAAAAAGTCCAGGGATTTTTCAGGGGTATTCTGTCATGGATATGTAGTGCCCTGTCCCTTACTACCTGGCCACTTTTGTTATGGGCCAGTGGGGCCCATGATGGGTTTGAAAAATGCTTTATTACTTTTGTCCCAAGTGGTACACATAGGTACCGCAAGTATTTTAAAGTACCGGAAACCTAGAAAATGCATTACAAACAAATAAATATTGTACCATGCTGGAATTTTGCGTTATTGCTAAGGAACTGGCAACTGTAGAGGGCGTTTAAGTCGTTCGCTTAAGCAATACTACACGTGTATCGATGAAAGATTAGATTTCTTGAGTATCTTAGTTCAAAAATTCGTAGTTTTCATTGTCTATACTAGTAGAATTTTATATATTTTAAAAGATTTATATGTATATAATCATTCCCAGTATTCAGGTAAATAGGTTTAACTTTTAGTTTAGTTTTTATTTCGCTATTTTTTCACATGGTACACATATATACCAGCCGGATTTTTTAATAATACTCATACGTACCAACAGATATTTTGATAAATACATTTTTATTTCAGTATTAAAATGAAAAGAATAATATTATTTTAGAAGACATTCAATTGTATAGATGACTATATTTCTGACATTTCTGTTTCATCTTCCAATGAATATGAACCAACTGATGATAGGACAGAAAGTGAAAGTGAATACAACTTTAGCAAAGATGATCTGGGAAAACCCTCTACATCTAAAAACTATCAAGTATATGTGGAGGATTTAGAAAGTAGTTTCTCTAGTGATTGTGAACAAGATGTTTCTAATCGGAGTTCTCTCAATTGTCTTATTCATTTGATAGTTCCAGATGACTTATTTGAGCCTGCTAAAATCATTCCTCCAGAAAGAACTTGTAAACTGCTTGTGGACATTCAAGTCCATTAGAAATATTTCATAAAGTTTTCCCTCATTCTCTATATTTACATATAGTGAATTGTACTAATCAGCATCTTCTGCAGCTAAACAAATCTAAGAAAAAAAAAGAAAAACTAACTGATAAAGGTGAAATCCAGAAAATATTAGTGTGTATGCTCATAATGTTGTATAACCACCTTTTTAGTCTAAAAAACTATTGGAGTGAAAAAGAGTCAATGGGAAATCGATCTATTGAAAACACTATTTCTCGTGATAGATTTATGCTTGTAATTTCTAAACTTTACTTTGCTTTCCCAGAAAAGCCTTCAAATGCTACAAAAACCTATTATGCTGATGAATTGATTTCTTGCTTGAAGTATGCATTTAGTAAATGTTGGCAAGATAGTCAGTTTTAGAGTATAGATGAATTAATGACCAAATTCAAAGGACGATTTTTGTTGAAACAGTATATGCCTCTAAAACCAATAAAACGGGGCATCAAATTATGGCTTCGTTGCAACTCTGATTCTGAATACACATATGATATGAATGTATACTCTGGTAAAGATTCACCAGCAGCAGATAAATCAGTAATCCTTGGAGAATATGTGAAATCACTTGTAGCAACAATAAAAGTCACTGATGTAGTCCTGTTTTTTGATTGCTTTTTACTGGCGTAAATCTATTGGAAACCATTAACTTTCCTGCAATAGGTACTATTATGGCTAACTGCAAAAATGTACTGAGCATGCCAGACAAACTCAAACAAGGAGAGTCTACATTCAGATGTACTGACACAGGAATATTGTGTGTAAAATGGCAAGACACAAAAGAAGTTTTAGTAATGAGTAATTGCCACAAACCTGATTTGACTTTTATTACTAAGAAAACTAAGACAGATGAGCAAGTAACAATAGACTGTCCACAAGCCATAGCTTTATATCGACAGAAAATGGGTGGAGTTGATCGAGCTGATCAATATATAAGTTTGTATAATCAAGAGAGAAAATCCACCAAAAGGTGGAAAAAGTATTTTACATTTGTCTAAGTTTGTGTGTAACAAATGCATGGATTATGTACAATGACTTGAGAAGGAACACAAAGAAAGTTTCTTATCTAACATTTTTGGTAGATCTTGCTGAAAATTTGATTGCTGAAGGAAAGAAAAACAGCAAATTATCTCTACCAAGAAGAGGCCCTTCTTCAAAAAAAGGAAACTTTTTGGAACAGCATTGCATCTTCCTATAGAAGGTCAAACAAGAAGATGATGTGCTCGATGTGCAGAGGGAAAAAAACAAAAAAGAACAAAAACAGTTTGTCACAAATGTCAAATTCCTTTGTGTAAAGACTGTTTCATGTTGTACCACACCAAACAATATATTTTTTTAAAAACATTATTTACAATAAAGTATTTCTGAAGTATATGTTGTAATTTTTCACCTGCTGGTACATATATGTACCAAGTAAAAACCCTATTGGTACACATATGTACCATTTCCCCTTGCCCATCCCATTAACTAAATTTAATTCCTTTCACAAAAAATCTTCGATTTGATTTTAAAATAACTCATCTTTTTTTTTATCTTTGATTTTGGATCAAAATTTATATTCAGGGACGAAAGGGTTATTAGTGTTCACAAAGTGGAGAGTAAAAAATTTTTAAAAGTGTGGATAATCACTTAATTTATTTATAATAAGCTTACAATAGTATCTGATTTTACATTAGGGGTGGGAACACAAAGATCAAGAGAAAAGAATTGCTGACAGTCTACATGTATTGTGAGAATTTTTTGAATCACTTTAAAACATGGATTGAAAGGACACCAATATGTTCATTTAGATATGTTTAGCAGTATTAACAGCAGTAAGCAAGCAAATCAAATAAATGAAAAGAGCACTGTTGTGAAAACAAAATGAAATGGCTTCTATGCAGGGGTGAATTCTCTTGATTTGCTTAGCTTGTGCTGCATGCTTAATAGAAAGTTTTCACTGTCAATATACTTTTCATATAAGAACAAACATGGTAATAATAATTTATTCTAACTTGTAAATTCTTTTATCATTTGTATTAGCTTTTATGTTGGCAGCTATTGGCTAGCTGTTGTAAGTCAGTGCGATGCTGTGGGAACTCGATTGCTTGCTCATATGGAGGTGTGTCGCGGCAAACAAGTGCATGTGCATGACGTCATTCGAAGCATTTATGTTGGCCAGATTGTATCATAAGATTATGATGTTCAGTCAGCATACATGTATTGTGTCTACGTAGGGATCAAGCCCTGATCCCCCAGTGTCAAGGGCCAACAAAAATTTAATTATCATCATAAATTTTTGATACTTCTTCATTATAATATATTTCATATATTTCATGTGTAGATGTAATGGGCTTTATAATAGTCTATACTTTTTTATTCACACGAAATAACATTTCCGCCTGTTGTTTAGTGCTAGAGATAGGCCTATTATTCTTATTATAAGTTTCAGCATGCTCAAAAATTTTGGTCAGGATTTGCCCCTTCTTCTATATATTGTATTTACTCTATGTGGTGTCTGAAAAAATTCATACAATTTAAACATCACAAATGATGTTTACACAGTTACACTTACACTTTGTGTGTGTGTATATATATATATATATATATTTTTTTTTTTAACATTAAGTATCTAACATATAACAGGCAACATTTTTGTTATAAATTGTTATTTGGTATTATATGTGCATTTTGACAGATATAGTAATTGTTAATTTTGTGGGGGCTGAGGGGGGAGAAATTTAAAAACTCAATGAACGATAATAGGCAATATATATTGTCATCATTTCCCTTGCTGTTTGGACTGCTGAGCAGTAACAATCAACAACATGTGGAAACAGTTGAGTCAGATATAGATGCTTCGTTTACAAACAACACAACCGTTTATTAAACACGAAAGAAGCTTACAAGGTTTCCACGATTTTGGAAGTTCTACAGCAGTTGCGGTCTCTGGGTCTTCCTCTTCTTTTCAAGATAGTCCCATTTTGAAGGAGTGTCCCTTGTTCGTGAATGAACCATTCCATCAAGTCTCGACGACTCCGGGACAATGCAGTCAACTTCTGTTGATGGAAAGATGTCAATCCGAGGTCGGGAGATGGAGACGAATATGGATGCGAGACACACACACAACAACAGATTCGTCACTTGGAACTTTTGGGAGAAGAAGCCATCGCGTCCTTGAATTTCCGGGGTTTTATCCGTTTTCTCTCAGATTCCCCTTCTTGATTGGTCTCTCCTCATCACCTGATGACAATTCGAAACCTTTCGGGAGCGTGGGAGAGGTCAAAATCAAAGTTTAATTTGATCTCCAACTGGAAATGGTTGACGGACTTACATTCTTCTATTGTTTAAAAGTTAGCGTCGCATTTTCATAAAATAAAAATCTATTTCTAACTACTATATATTTTTTCTCTAAAACAATTATTTTAACGTGAATTTTAGTGAGGGTTCGGACCTGTCCAGAGCCTCACATTTTATTAGGTTTATTTAATGTTGAGATTTTTAGATAATAAGTATGTTTTGAAAAGTAGTTCCTGATTTTATTAGAAACATTAATTTTGCTTAACTTTAGCCATTTGTGATTTAATCTATTATACAAATTCAGTTATTGTAAATAGCGTCTTAAAATAATGATCATAAAAAATGTATATGATATTAAAATTTAAATGAAGTTATTATTTGATAATTTTATACTTAATATGAGATAATTAATTAGTATAACTGATAAAAAACTTGTTTATTTTTATAGATGATATTAAACAGTCGCTGTTAGCTGAAGCAAGATCTCGGAAGATGCAATATGGAAATCAGTGTCGAGCAAAGTTTCATGAGAAACTGTATTATATAGGTGATTTTATGGCAGATAATTTAAAAAAGCTCAGCAGACCAATTGTTGACTTAGATGATATTAGAAGTACCATGAGTTGTTTGGAAAATATTAGAGAACAGCAAATAGACATTGATAATATGATTGATCCAATTGAGGTAATAGTAAATTTTTATCATTTGATTAAAATTATAACCTTTTATCAATTATTTTTATTTAATTATATTGAAAGATATGATGATGAAAAAAATTATTTTTCAGTATATCATAAACAAAAATTATAAGAAATCATAAGATCTAGAAATGATATTTTTATATATAAAATTTACTGGAATATGTATAGTATATGCATATATTTTTTAAGGCATTAATATCAAAACCAGGCTTGTTTTATACTGGCATGCAAAGGGTGCAATGAACTCAGGCAGTATAATTTAGAGGGTGGCAAAATCAAACTTTCCAATTTTTCAAAGAACCTTTGTTGTTTGAAAAATTTGACAGAACTGTGAAACGTAAAACTTCTTAAAATTAGGTATAGAAGAAAAATTTTTTAAAAATACAAAGAAATAAATTTTTTTCATTGAGTTAAAACACTCAAACACTACCAACTTTCGGGACAAAACACTACCAATTGCTAAAAATTCACAAATAAATAAATTTATTTAAACTTTTAGAAAATTGGTAGTGTTTGAGTATTTTTACTCAAAGAAATCTTTTACAGTAGAACCTCGAAAACTCGGCCTAATGTGGACCGAAGGGTGGCCGAGTTTGTGAAAATGCCGGGTTATCGGGAATGGGGTTAAAAAAATAAGTACGAGTGTTTCCTCAGAAAATACTGTACTGTACTTGTATGTATTGTTTACTTGAGAATATAACAGAGAATTAACTGCCCAAATACCCTTAAACAAAGGAAAAGTACGTCCTTTATGAAGGCATAGAGCCTTTACTACATGAAAATGAAAATTAATGAATACACTGTGTACAGTAATTTACCTGATAAGACAGACCTCAGAAAAATACTTTATGAGAGCTTTTATACTTTTATAAAGCTGTCTATAATGAAAATTAATTAACTAAGGATTTTTTTGCCCTGCCAGGGTGTGGCCGAGTTATCCGGAGTGCCGGGTTATCGAGAGCCGAGTTTTCGAGGTTCTACTGTATTTGTTTCTTTGTTATTAAAAAATTTTTCTTATATACCTAATTTTAAAATATGAAATAACAACTCTATTTGAGAATTTTAAATTACTAAAACTTCTTACTCATTTTGGTTTTCTTACTCATAAAGAAAACCAAAATTATCATTTTAATTTTTTTTATGATATTTCTAGTTTATCAAGCATTATCAAAGAAACAAAAATAAAATAAAGTAAAACCTTATTATTTCAAAACTCAAGGGACAAAAAAATATGACCTTAGGTTATCTGAACTTTTTTCAAATTAAAGGTTTTTGTAATTCTTGAATAAAATTATGATATTATCTTATATAATTTCAATTATTCATTTACAAATGCATTAATATTATGAGTTAATTACTTAGTAATTTAACTACTTTGAAAAATTGTCAGTTGGCATGTACTTAATGAGAACAAAGAAAAGTAACCAAATTATATTCAAAGCAAGACCTGAAAATAATGTACAAAAAAAGCTTAAGTATTTTAATAAGAATTACCACAAATTTTGTCTTAAGTTTGAGATTACAAAATTCATCTGATTTGATGAAAATGGGCTCTATTAATGGTTAAGCTATAAGTACACATTCTGTCATGAATACGCATATGTATTTAATTGAATTTGGAATTATTGAAATAATAGATTTTTAATAATTAAATCAAAATAATTAAATACAAAACAGATTTCTTGCATAAAAATAAGAAATTCTTTCTTCATTGGCAATGCTGTACAATATCTGAATGAGCTTGAATGGATGTCCCATAAATCAGTAATGTATAATTGGTGAAATCAAAACTGAAAATGCCACTTCGGCATGGAAATTTTCTCATAAGCATGTAATATGAAGGAAGATTTCAAATTAAATGATATTGATTTTCTTTTTGAAACCGTGTCCTGTTTTATATTTGTGGCATAGTAAACACTAGTATTGTGTTTTATTCCAAAGACACATGGCAAATTTTCCATCAAATTCCTTTATTAGTTGAAGTCAACTAATAAAGGAATTTGATGGAAAATTTGCCATGTGTTTTTGGAATAAAACACAATACTAGTGTTTACTACGCCACAAAAATTAAATGATATTTTTGTCAGTCACTGGATCAGATAATGACTTCAGATTTCATTGGATAATTTGAATACACTTACAAACTAACTGGATAATTTTACTTTGTTTTGCTTTATAAGCTTACAGTTGTATACTATGTGAATTATGACAGGGACTACTCTACTAATTTACAATGTTATAAAATAAAATACAATTATCAATATGTTTATCTGTACAGTTATAAATACATTAAACTATTTGAAATGTATGCACCACAAACTTTTCATTTTATTATGTTTTATTGTTCATTTTATAATAACAATTAAGTTTATTAAAATAAAACTAATTTTATTTTAAGCTATAAATTTGTGTTTTATAGCATAAAAATCTCAGCTACAGTGTATCTGAAGCTTTTTTATATTTTGTAGGAGGTATATACAATTTTTCAAAAATTTGGTATTTATGTTTCCATTGAAGAAAATGAGAAAGTTGACACATTAAGATATAATTTTAAAAGATTACTGACCAAAGCAGTAAGTGAAGATATTTCAAAAAATATGTTATTTATTTTAAATCACTTATTATTAAACGTATAAGTATAATTTTGATTTTTGATTATTTTGACATGTAATGTATCATTTTGCAATAATGTAGTGTTGTTGCAATATTATACAGAATGAAAATACTATTTTGATGTAGTAAAACAATAATGACTCATTTATATTTGAGAAATTAAACCCTGTATTTTATTTGTTATTTTCATTTTATTTTGTTATGTTTAATTCTGAATGATAAACTTTATTTTCTCTATTCAAAATTTTTTTGATCATTGTGTTCTGGAAGAACATTCAATGGAATAATCTATTGCTTTTAGCCCTTAATATTGTTTAACACTTAGTCTAGATCAAATAGACACATATACATAAGGTTTGTTTCAAATTTATACGGACACGAAAAAATTAAAGTGAAACACAAATTTGCTGCATTAAGTGACAAATGTTTTATTAAAAATAACATGGATTTACATGTTTCCACATTGCAAAATAAGAATTTTAATCAAACATTAACATTTTGTCACTGAAAATAATGTTTATGAAACTCTTATACAAAAAAACTGTTACATATTTATCCGGACAGGTTTCAAATTGCAAAGTTTTCTTACAATTTAATGGACAATGACCACCATTTAACTTAATTACATTAAATACTCGATTAAGCATTGTTTCAATTAGATTCTGAAGGAATTCAATCTTAAGTTTATCTTAAGCATCTGAAATTGCTGCCTTCAAATCATGAATTGTGGAAAACTGCTTTCCATTGGCATAAACTGTACGAACTATCATCCCCCAAAGATTTTCCATCGAATTCATGTCAGGGCTTCTAGCAGGCCATGTCATCAGATTAATATTTTTACGTTTAAACCACATTTTTGTTGATTTAGAGGCATGCACAGGGGCATTGTCTTGTTGAAAGATCCAATTTGGTCCACAAATATTTGGTCCAGCTTCCAATAAATGATCTTCAAGCATGCCTTGATACTTCTTTGAATTCATTCTTTGAGTTATAAATGCTAAATCTGTGGTTCCGTTGAATCCAAACGCACCCCACACCATTATTGATCCCCCACCCATTTGGCGTTTTGAAAATATTTGTTTTTCGGTTCTTAAATCGTGCCAATAATACTTCCAACCGTCTGGACCATCTAAGTTGAATTTTTTTTCATCACTGAACAAAACTTCAATCCATTCTTCGGACCATGTCATGTGTTTTTGTGCCCAATCAAGTCTGTCACTTTTGTGCTTTAATGAAAGTGGTGGCATTACAGCTTTTTTTCTGAATTTTAACATTGGAGATTTATTTAAAACTCTCCACACTGTTGTGCTGCTACAAGGCAAGTCTAATTCTTGTTTTATTTTTCTTACTGATGTTTGTTTTGTGGAGCAAACCTTGATGATTTGTCTACAATCTCGAGGAGTAAGCTTGGGTTTTGGACCTGTCTTGAATTTTGGTACATCCTTGCCACGTCTTTTTGATAAATAATCACCAACAGTTGATTTTGGACGATTTATATATGCTGCAATTTCTCTTATTGACTTGCCTTGTGATTTATAGGCATCAATCTGCCCTTTTTCATAATCAGATAAATTCTTTGTTCTACCCATTTTAGAACGTTGAACAACGTAAAGAATTTGTATTACAATTAGATATGTAAGCTAATTTGCATATTTCAATGCTTGAAACTAAACAATATTCTGTTTAAGCCTTAAAATGAGTGCCTGTCCGGATAAATATGTAACAGTTTTTTTGTATAAGATTTTCAAAAATATTATTTTCAGTGACAAAATATTAATGTTTGATTAAAATTCTTATTTTGCAGTGTAGAAACATGTAAATCCATATTATTTTTAATAAAACATTTGTCACTTAATGCAGCAAATTTGTGTTTCACTTTAATTTTTTTGTGTCCGTATAAATTTGAAACACACCTTACAGGCTTATCACACCAGTGAATAAGATTAATTCACAAAATATTTAATGATTATTTAACACCTTAATAAAACTTTACAATAAATTATGGCTCTTTTAACATGTACAATATAGAACATTCAAAATGCATTTTGGACTCAATACATCCCTCTTCAGTTGGTGTTCATACATAAATATAAATTATAAAATTATAAAATACATTAAAAAACCATTGTAAATATGAAATTAATCCTAAAAATTTATTGAATGCCATTAATAATTTAGATTTGTTGATGTTAAGAGAACCTAATTCAGTAAGAGTACAAAAATACAAAAAATGGATTATTATTCTTATTCTTCGATTTATGTAAAAGGAAATATTTTTTCATGCACGGAAAGCTAGAACTTCTTTAAATAAGTTTCACAAAGTCTTTCACTGTTTTTCTAGCAGTTTTTTAATCCATAAGAGATTAAGTTGTTCTTTTATGGATTAAGAAACTGCTAGAAAAAGAGTGAAAGGCTTTGTGAAACAGAAATATTTTTGTTAATTGTATAAAAAGATTGTGAATAGAACTACATTGGAACATGATAAAAAGAACGAAATTATTGATGTTATTAAAATGTTTTTATTAGATAATTACCCAAAGAGACTTCTTAAAAACTGGCTGAAGCATATAAAAACTAATAATATTAATAGCAAAAAAGTTAATAACCAAAGTTCAGTAAAATATTTTAAATTGACATATGTCAAAAACATGTTTGAAAAACTAAAAATGAATTTAAAAAGTTTAATATAGTAATAGTACTGGACCAATTTAACAAAATACAAAAACATATTGTTTTGAATAAAGTAGAAAAAAAATACAAATGATTTAGAAAAAAGTAATGTAGTTTATAGATTTAAATGTAGTTGTGCTGAAAAAGTGGTATATATTGGAAAAACAAAAAAGTTTAAAAGTATGGGTAAAATAACATATAACTGCAATAAAATATAATACACATAATTCTGCTGTAGCTAAACATTGTAATCTTAAAGGTTGTGAAATAGTGAAAGATTCAATAAAGGTGATAAAATACAAAACTAATAGTAAAATAAGGAAGGAAATACTATGAACATATAGAAATTTTAGAAATTAAATCAGAAGAAACATTAATCACAATTTAGGAATAAAATTATATGCAAGGTGGTATTTATTTTTGTTTTTATTAATGAAATATTGGCAAAAAACAAAAATGAATTTATAATTAATGACATATTAGTGAGTAAAATAATATACAAATTAATAATAGTGTATAAATATACAAATTAGCCATAGAGTTGTGGTTCTGTGTAGTATTAGTCCAGTGAGTATATATCCATCATTTTACATTTATAATATTTGATGAGACTATGTCTCATCTCTAAAATTACACTGCTGTCAGCAGCTGCATTATTATTAGTGCATCAAGTTTTCACATTAAAAAAATCTAATTTTAACTACTATACTTTTTCTCTAAAAAAATTTTTTTAATGCGAATTTTAGTGAGGGTTCGGACCTGTTCATAGCCTCACACCTACATAATTTGCAATATGTGGATTCAGAACCATCGGTTGCTTTTTTAATCCAAGAAAATTTATCTTTAATTTATCATTATATTTTCTGTTATTGTCATATATCGATTTTCACTTAGGCATAATTATAAATGAAAATAAAAAATAAAATAACTTTGAGAATGATTTTATAATCACTTTAGGTATGGCATAGGTGAATAGTTACTAGGTAGGCATGCAGAGTAATGAGTAGCGAAATTTCTTATTTTAGTGTTGCCAGATTAAAATCTATAAAAGCCAAAAAGCTAAACAAAAATTTTGATGCTGATCAGATTGAAAAAGCCAATCTGGCAACACTGGGTTGAATGGCCAATAGTTGAATCCAGATGGTTGAAACTTGCTTCTTGCAAGTTTTTATCATCTGGAAATAGAATTTTTATTCTCTCATTCAGAGAAGTGTCTACACAAACTTGGTGACTATGTGAAAATAAAGTGAAGGTATGTGCTTTTAATTGTATAATGTTAAATATTCGAATAAAATTCTGTTGAGCTACAATGGGTATGTATAACTTAATTTTTGAATGATCTATAAATAACTCTATTAATTAAACAATGATTACAGAAAAAATAATTTTTAATACATTAGATGAATATTATGAAATATTCATATAATGTATGCATTACTATTGTTTAAATTTCATTAATATATTAATTTGTCAAGATATAATAATTTTGAAATACATGAATTTATATGAAAAGAAGTACATTTACTAAATATTTCTATATTCTTATTATTATTATAGAAAGAAGTTCAAGAACATTTGATAGATATACAGGATAACTATAAATCAACTTTATTAGATGGAGTAAAAGATTTTACAATAGATGTTACAGACTACTCAAAAAGATACACAGAAGTAAATAAATTATATTTTTACAATAAAATTCCTTTCATTTATCTTTTATATTGCAAAACAAAAGTTAACACCACAGATGAATAAATTTTAAATTATTACATACGTTGAATTTATAATTTTATATAAACATAAAATACAGTCGACCCCCTATAACACGGATTCCTATATCACGGTGAGAAAATTACAACAGTATTCATACAAACATGCTAAAAAAACTCCTATAATTCGGTAAAATGTCATCGCCGACTCGTGTTGTGACAGGATTGCACAAACCGTTGAGTTTAAACGAGCAGCGAACCACTAAAAACAATTTATTATTTAACGTCCATAAAAATTATATTTATACTAAGATGTCTCTAAAGTTCAGCAAATTTTTCACAAAAAAAATAATTTATCAGAAAGCACACAAGCGCCATTTAATGACAATCTCCACGACGAAAATGAGCTTAAGCAATGGTGTAGTTGAACGGTGCACACTCGGTAAGTAATCCTACAATTCTTTGTTTATAGCATAGTTTATATGGATTGTTCCCAAAAAATTATACGTATTTTTGAAATGTTGAGTCGAATTAGTCTAGAATTAATTAATTTTATGGAAGAAACCTTTCAAATAGTCTGTAAACTGCATACGTGCCGGGCTGTGATTGACTGGACTCGTAAAAGCTGGATTCATAAAACTCGGAACGTATCTACCATGTTATAGGAGAGTCGACTGTATGTTTGTATAATGTTATGGTGTACACACATACACACACACCATATTTTAATGGATTGACTTGCATGCCACATATAATCAGGGAGACCAGTATGCCAGAAACCCTGGAGTAACCAGCAAGCCTGTTAAACCATGACTAAAAAATAATATCAATTAGATCTAACAAAACTAGTTGTTAAATAAAACATTTTTTCAAGTACAATACTGTTAAATATATCACTTTTGCAAGTTATGGGTTCACAGATAGTGAGTAGGATACCTTACAAGTAAGTATAAATCATACACAATTACTTTAATCTATTCCAAAGACACAATGGATTGAAAAGTGGTGCACTTGAAAGAGACTCCACCCAATGGCCATTTATTCATTAAAAAAAAATACAAATAAAGGATAACACACTGCCACACATATAGGTAATGACGGAAGAGAAATTTAACAAATACAGTTATAACATTGTAATTTGACTGACTTAAAATTTGGGAGAATGTTTTCATTTACAGGACAATAAAACAATTAGTGGCTTATTGACATTATTAAATTGGGTTTTGTGAGTTATACTTCAATGACATCAGTGGCTGTGTACTATGCCGGACCAGAGTCAAGACATAGCAACCAAAAACTAAAATAAGTGTGTCAGGGTCTGTATTCAGGAATTTCCTAACAGTGTGGCACATATACAATATAGTGTATGTATTTCTATTCAATTGTAATGTTCCCAGGCTTTTGTGTAGTGTGTGGGGTATCACACCTGTACAGGAGAGAACGACAGGTACAATAAGCACCCTTTCAATCCTCCACAAATGACTTATTTCCTAAACGAGTTCTTTGTACTTGCTAATTTTTTTAGTGAATGTGTTTTGTACATTGTGAGTGTTTGGAATGGCTATGTCTATAATGTATGTGATTTTATTGTGTTTGTCAATAAGTGTGATGTCTGGTCTGTTGTGGTAAATTCTTTTATCTGTGATTATGGCTCTGTCGTAGTACATTTTTTGCGTGTTGTTTTCCAATACTGTTTGTGGAATATACTTGTAGTATGGTTCATGAATGTCTACCAATTTGTGTTTCTTTGCAAGCTCTTGGTGTATTATATTTGCTACTTGATTATGTCTATGTAAGTAATCTGTCTGTGCCAAGAGCTTGCAACCAGAAGTGATGTGTTGTATAGTTTCTGGCAGAATGTGACATTTTCTGCATATGTCATTTGTGAGTGTTGTATCTTTAAGTATGTGTTTTCTGTAGTTTTTAGTATTTATCTGATCCTGTATGGCAATCATGAATCCTTCCATCTCCCCAAAGAGGCATCCCCGATCTAACCAGCTGTTTGACGCAGTTTTGTCAACAAAATCCTGGGCCAGGTCATAAGGATGCCTGCCATGGAGTGCGTTTCGAGCGCACCATTGCTTAGTGGTGTCTATGCTTTTTACATGTTGTGTCATGTCTGTATGATGTGAGTGTAAGTTTAGTGATGTGTTATTTGAATCTGCTAGAGTTACTGCTTTATGTAATTGTGATGTTTCTTGTTTCCTGTAGAAAAACTCTCGCAGTGACTGTATTTGTTTGTAGTGAAGGTTAACTATGTCAATCAGGCCACGTCCACCATCTTTACGTGGAAGGGTTAATCTTTCTATGGCAGATTTAGGATGATATTGTTAATGTTTAGTAAGTGTTGTTCTTGTTTTCCTTTGGAGTTGCTCGAGATCTGTGTGAGTCCAATGTATAACTCCAAGAGAGTATGTGAGTACTGGGACGACATATGTGTTTATTGCTTTAACTGTGTGTTTTGCATTTAACTGTGTTCTAAAGATAGCATTTAACCTACTTTGGTATTCTTTAATTAATCTTTGCTTTATTTGTGTATGTTCTGTTAGTTTGGCCTGTTGGAATCCTAAATACTTGTAGAACTTGCTTTCTCCCATGGATTCAATAATGTTTCCATTTTCAAGTGCAAAATCTTTGTTCTTCAGGATTCCTTTTTCTATGTGAAGTGTTTCGCATTTGTCTAAGCCAAACTCCATTTGTATGTCCTTGGTGTATGAATGTGCGATTTGTAGGAGTTGATGAAGTTGTTTCTGTGTGGATGCATAAAGTTTTATGTCGTCCATGTACATGAGATGTGACAGCATAAACTGTGCTGTTTTTTTTGTGTCTGATATTGTAGCCATATTGCGTGTTGTTTAACATGTTAGATAATGGGTTCAGGGCAAGGCAGAACCAGAGAGGACTGAAGAAATCTCCTTGAAAAATTCCTCGCCTAATGAATATTTGGTATGTTTGTATGGAAGTGTTACTAACCCTGAGATGCAGTGTTGTTCTCCAGTGCTGCATAGTGGTTTGGAAGAATGCAATGAGTGACGGATTTATTTTGTACATGTGTAGAATATGTAGCAGCCAACTGTGTGGAATGCGGTCGAATACTTTTCTGTATATGGTCTATATATGCCATGTGTTTGTTTCTGTGTTGTTTGTGTGCTTGCTGTAGAATGACTGAATCTATGAGTAACTGTTCTTTGCATCCCCTGTGATTTCTACAGCAACCTTTTTGGTGTTCTGTAAGAATGTCATGTTCTTCAACATGTTTGTATATTTTGTTTGTGATACATGCTGTCAATAATTTATAGAGTGTTGGGAGACATGTAATTGGTCTGTATTGTGTGGGGTCTGTGGTGGTGGTGTTTTTAGGTTTCATGTAGGTGATGCCCTGAGTAAGAAATTTTGGCATGTCTTGTGGGTTGATGATGATGTGTGTTAGATGTTTAGCTAGTTGCTGGTGCAGTGATGTAAACTTTTTGTACGAGAAATTGTGAATGTTGTCTACATTATGTGTCTTCCAGTTGTGTGTTCTGTTAACAGTGTAGTGAATGTCGTCTACATTTCTTTCAGTACAGGGCATAGTTGGTATGTTGTGCAAGTTTCTGTTATTTTCTATGATCCAGCCTGCATTAGCGTTGTGTGTAACATCATTGGACCAAAGGGAAGACCAATAACTTGTGAGTTCTTCTTCTGTTGGTGTGCCACTGTGCTGTGTATTAGTGTTTGTTTAGGTACTGATTTGTCTGTAGAAAAGTTTTTCGTTGTTTGTGAATAATTTATTTTGTTGTTTTTGTAATGTACATGTTTTGTATTGTTTGAGTCTACGTGCTTTGGCTGCGAGTTTTTGTTTTAGTGTATC